AACTCTCTCGTCGCTTTTGCTACTTGTAACAGTATGGTGAAACTCACTCGTCGCTTTTGTGTGTGCGGATTTGCAAACGACACTCAAGGTTCATTCAACTCCTGTTATCACCAGAAGGACGTCGAATTGGGAGAGCAGATCGATTCTTTAGGAAATGTGTTCGTTTGAGGTGAGCATTGTAGAGATACAGGAGATAAGTGACAGACATCTGCAAAGAAGTGGACAGGAAGGCCACAAGAACAATGGCAAATGAAGAAGGAACGTTTATGTCGTCATCGTCGTTTATGCATGTAGAGTTGTTTGTGATTGCAGAAGGGGGAAAAAATGACTCAGTAATGCATGGAGTCTACGGCGAAGCCGTAAGAGGTAAATTTGCATAGATAGCCGCTCTATTTCGAAGGAAATTACCTGAGAACATCAAGACAGTTGTCTTTGCACAGGAGTTTACAACAGAAGGATGTATTTCTAGTTCGTAAAGAACTTCGTTCTTACTCCCAAAAAATTAATTGATGAATTAGGAAGAGGTTACGAGCTAGTTTTATTAGCATCTAAAGATTTTATGACGCCACTACATCATTTCATTGGTAGCTGCCAATCTTTGAAAAACCAAACCGTCATTTGCCAATTTTTTTTTTTTTTTTGTAATAAAGCTGTTGTTACCACGAACTGTTCTTAAATCCTACGCGGAAACAAATGATGCGGGATTTACGTGGGTGCCAGTTCATTATAGAAAGAAATTGTAACAAGGTAATTTTGTTATAATTTTACCAACTGAGTTGATGAAGACGAAGGGCTAGCGCTGGAAACGTCAGCTTTGAAACTCCATACGGTTGCTAATTTACATTATCAACTCAGTTAATAAAACCAAAATTACCTTTCCTGAGTAGGTCCGCTAATAGAGAGGATCCCAGGGGAAGTTTCGAGTTCTAAGACCCAATCAAAACAGAGCCATAACAATCCTATGGCATTACCACAAACATCTGCTCGCATGCATTGGGCAGCGGAGTAAGTTTATGCGATTCGCAGTGAACTCAGCGAGAAAGGGTTCACTCAAGAAATCAGTGGAGATAGAGGTTCCCGTTGATGGACTCCTGTTAAATAAGCTAAAAATGAGCTCATATAGAGAAGAGCCAGAAAAGTAACAGATGAAAACAACAGTGCTACGGTTTATAATGTGAGCCCCGTGACCTTCTACAGTCTTTGTTTTTATGCCCTCGTTATGTGACAGTAAATTAATGAGAAGTTCCTATCGATCAGTTCCTCATAAATTAGGGGCCAACCATTTAACTTTTGAGGGGGGGTGGGTGATTTTGAAAGAAAAATTCCTGCAAGCGCTTGTTGGAAGAAAAGAATTGAATGTAGCCCAAATTTAACAGAAAAAAAGAGCATTTAGTACGGAAAAAAATATCCTGCCCAGCAGATTGCTAGAAAAAAAAATTCTTGATGACCAGAAATCACCCACCCACGAAATGCCATACAAATCACATCTTTAAACAAAATGAAAGAATTCAGCTCAGCTGATCACTAACAGCGCGTAGAGTGCTTAATTTCCACACCATCGAACAAAAACATATCAATACTCTTAATTCTTCTAGAAGTTATCTAACTTTTCAGTTTATCGCTCTTTGGGTGACAGTGTGTGGTATCTTTTATCTCGACTCGACTTTGCATTTATTTCCCAAGAGATTAACGACTTATTTAACCCAGCTTTTCAATATTTTAAGGGGCACATTATTGCTAGAATATTTCAGTTACCTAGGTCTACCTAACATTTCAGTTTCATAATTGATTTACAACCCAAGTGTTTACACAATGTTCAGCCTATAGTTTCAAAACTCCCACGTCAATCATTTCGAAATTTGGGTGTGGTGAACGATAAAATCCGAAACTCGCCGAGACCCTCGTAAAAAAATTCAAGCTGTGAATTGAAAGTAAGGGAGGAGTATGGACTGGACTACTGGACCCTTGAACAGTTAGCCTTTCACGGCCTATCACGACCCATGTAAAGGTCCCACGCTCCCATCTCCTCTTCCGGCCGAGAGTCGGCCACCAGAGTTGACCCAGAGCTCACTTACTCTTATTGCCACAAAATTGATTGTCTTGTTCCTTTGTCAAATGTTTTGGTGCTGACGAAAAAAACTCGTTGTGTGTGAGACCAGTAGGAAAAGAAATAAAATTAGCACTAACGTAAGAACATCTTTCGCATTTATTCTTAGATGTCTGTGAAGTTTATAGTAATTTGATGAAATCGCCTGGGCTTCAACTTAAAGATGTTGGTTAAAGTTGACTTTACAACGAAGGTTCGAAATGAATCAAGGTTCTGAACATAATCAATTCTTCAAATGCAATCTTCAACCAGACCACGGTCGACACGGATCAGTGAGACAGGGATTAGTTTTCATGTAAACATTGATGAGACTCCTGGTGATAAAACTCTTTATGTGAACAATGAAGTACTTTGATTTCGTACCCACGATCCCGGCCGAACGCTAGTATGTGACCCGAAAAAGGTTCCGTGAAGCTTTTGAAGACCTGTCCGGCACTGCTCCCTACCTCGTCGTGATGTTATCCCTTGGCACTTATGGCTTGGATGTCACGTGTAAAAGTTAAAGACTTTTCTCTTCATTCCTAAGAAGGGTGGGGTTGAGAGCCTTTTGTCCCTCTCCCCTAAAGCTGGTACGATTTCGAAATGGACTCAAAAGTTGACAAGAAAAACGATGTCATTCATCATTCCTAATATACGTTTCCGAGCACAGGTTTTACATGGAGAAAAGGAGACTGATATCTTAAATCTAAGTTAATTATTGTCTAGGGCAAATCATTTTTAATTTGTCCATTGTCACTAGATACCTCATGAGCCCTATCTTTTCATTCACCATCCCTTGAGTCTAGCAGTCACTAGCCGTACGATTATTTTCGTGAACAATCGCCTCTCGATTATAGTCGCAAAACGCCATCGGTTCCTGCTCGCCAGTGATCGGTTATAATCGACTTTCGTGATTATCCATTCAGGCGTAAACAACGAAAATCGGTATCTGGTCGTAACATTTGTTACTGTTCGTTCCAAAAGGTCGTCTTAACGAAAATCTTTACACAAATACGATGGACTCCACGACATATGCTGGTTTGTTCTCTTTTCGCTCCAACTTTGTCACTCGTGATCTTGAGCTGAATCTCCCGGACAGTTGTGGGCCATGTCCTGATCATCTGAAGCGAAAACAAATTGCCTTTATCCGAGTATTGAAAGGATCTCAGAACGGATTTTTTTTTTTTTTTTGCTTAAGCTCTGAGATGGCACAGGTTAATTGAGTTAAAAACTATGATGACAAAATCTTCCTTTTGTATTGCCTCTAGTGAACCGGTACACGAGGACAGAACCAAATCTTCAGTTCTGATAAATCTTTAAACCTCTATTTAATAAGAAGGGAGATTCAATGGCCGAACACAATAAAGCTTGATAGATTATGAACCAAGAGGTGGCAGTTCAAACCCTAGCTAAGGAAAAGGTTTATCTTTGTTGGTAAGATACTTAGTCCTCACAGAGCCCCTGTTCTCCCAAGACAACTGAGGAGTATTCAGTGCTATCTATTAAACTGTCCAAAAGACAAACTTATAAAAATATGGGCCAGGAGGGAGGGTAACTATGAAAAACAAAAGAGAATAACCTTCATGTCATAGCAAAAGGGTTAA